ACTTTTTTTTATCTTTGCTGTTATCGCTGGTGTGAGGTATCTCATTGTTGTTTTGATTTGCATGTCTCTAATGGCTAGTGATTGTGAACATTTTTTCATATGTTTGTTGGCTGCCTGACTCTCTCTTTGAGAAGTGTCTGTTGATGTCCTGTGCCCATTTTTTAATTGAGTTGTTTGTCTTTTTCTTGTAGAGGAGTTGTAGTTTCCTATATATTTTAGAAATGTAGTTTCCTATATATTTAGACAGTCCCTTGTCTGGTGTGTCGTTGCAAAAGAATTTTTCCCATTTTTGTGGGTTCCCTTTTTACTCTTTTGGTGAAGTCTTTTGATGCATGTAAGTTTTCAATTTTTAGCATGTCCCAATCATCTATTTTGTCTGCTTTTGTTGTGTGTAATTTTCAAAATGTTTGGTAGTCTGTTTATTACCTGAATTAGTTCCTTCACATTTGTCCCTATTTTTTCATTGATGGCCTTCATAATTCTGGGCTTCACATTTAGGTGTTTAATCCATGTTGAGTTGGTTTTTGTATAAGGCGTAAAGTGAGCCCTTTGCATCTTAAATTACCTACATTTTTGTTTTGTTTTTTCATAATTTTTTGTATTTCTAAATAATGGGGTGAAATATTTTCAAGCTTTTTCTTTAGAGATAATACATTGTAGCTATAGATAATCTTTATCAGTCACCGATTAATTAATACTTACAGATCTCACATCATTAGATATTGTATTACATATAGCTGTATTTTTGCCCAATTAATGGCAGTACCTACAGTCAACTTCTACTGGTATCACAGTCTGGTTCTTTTCAGTCTGTTTCTTTTCAATATATGTAATAGTTTTTAACTGTTATATAGATTCTTTAAAGTTCATTGAAATTCAGGACTTCATTTTAATAGTGATATTCATTTTATTCAAAGCTCTTTCCTGCCTTCTATTTCCCTGCAGTGGGGGATAAGGTTTGCTTGGTCAGTGCTTACTACTAAACCAAAGTTGGATCCTATGTGGGACATGTGGTTTAGGCAAGACCTCAGAGGAAAGCCTTAGTAGCTCTCCTAGAGACTTGTGGTACTTTAAGTAACTGACCCTCAGGTGGTGGTGGTGGTGGTGGTGGTGGTGGTTATGTGCCATGGAGTCGGAACCAACTCATAGTGACCCTGTACAGGGTTCCCGAGGGGACCTAAAATTAAACTAAATCCCACTGACTTTGATTCTGTCTCAGTGACTCTGTAGAGTAGAGTAGAACTGCTTGTTATGGTTTCTGAGACTGTAAATCTTTACAGAAGCAGACAGCCTCATCTTTCTCTTGTGGAGTAGCTGGTGAGCTTGAACCTTGTAGTAGTTAGCAGCTTAACACATGTCCCACTAGAGGACCATAACTAGATGGAAAGGGACAATGTCTTTCTTGAACAAGTTCCCAGTATTCAAAGGTTCAGAAAATACCCTACTGGCCTCACTGTAAATGAGATTGAGGGCCATATTCTTTTACATGTTGTTGTCATTAATTGCCATTGAGTCAGTTACAACTCATAGCTCCCCTGTGCACATTATAATGAAACACTGCCCAGTTCGGCACCATCCTCAGAATTCTTACGTTTGACTTGATTATTGCTGCCACTTTTCCAAATGTAATGTCCTTCCCAGGGACATTACTTCCCAAGTTTGAGCGATGACGTCTCGCCATCCTTTCTTCTAAGGCTTATTCCGACTATATAGATTGGTTCGTTTTTCTGGCAATCGACAGTACTGTCAATATTCTTTGCCAGTTCAGATTCTTCATAATTCAAATGCATCAATTCTTCTCAGGTCTGCTGTATTCATTGTATAACTTTCACATGAAGATGAAATGATTGACAATACCATGGGTTGGGTCAGGCATACCTTAGTCCTCAAACTGACATCGTCTGTTTAATGCAATACACCTTTGTTTTTGTTTTGTTTTTTAATTTAAGGTTTTTATTGTGGATTGAGTGAAAGTTTACAGGGCACATCATCAGTTTCACATTCAACAATTCATTACATTGATTATAATCCCCTCCATATACCATCAGTTAAAAGTATTTCTCTCTATCCGCTTTAGCTTTTTAAAAAACACACAAACAAAAAAACCCACTCAGGCATATATAATAATTTATATCTCCAAAGGGCACATTCTGCAAGTCTGCTCCTGGTCACCAGTTCTTAGTCCTTCTCTTCTTAGTTGATGTATCTAGAGTCCTCAGCCACTCCCTCTTTCCATGCCCCCATCTCTGCCTCCATCTCTGGTGCTGCTGCTTCTCTGGGTAAGGTCTCACATTCTATTTGTGTGTTCCTCTCTTGATGGTCCTAGGGTCCTCTATTTCTGGACTATAAGATTAAACACTCCCCTTTTTGTGTTACAAAACTTCTACCTTTACAAGTGTGACAGTCGCGATTAGTCATGATAACAGTTATTCACTATTGAATCTTACGAATCTTATCCCCATCTCTTTTCACCAGATCCATCTAGACAAGAAGACAGATTTTCAGTGGGGACTCTTTCTTTTCCCCCATACTCTTAAACTAAACTCCGTCTTGAAACTTTGTAAACCAGTCACTTCGTGCCTTTATTGCCCCCTCATTTTAGGTAGCCACAAGAGAGTGGCTTTAATAAGAAAATTTATTTTTTCGCAGTTTAGGAGGCTTAAAATCTGAATTCAGAGCTCTGGCTCTTAAGAAAGGCCCTAGTTTCCTTTCAGCATTGGTGGCCCAGCATTCCTGGGGAATCTCCATGCAACTTGGCATCAATCTTTCCTTGATCCAATGCAGGGCACCAAGTGCACAGGACACATTCACTCTCAGCTCTTCTTTGGTGATAGTGGGTCCCTCTGAGCTCTGGTTGCTTGGTTAGTCTCTTACATCTCAAGAGAGATTTACTGAGAATACAACCTTATCCTGTAGATTGCATTTGGCGTCATTAACATCATAGTAGTAGTACTAGTTGAGTGCCTTCAGGTTGACTCATATTGATCCTGATAGGCAATTGGTGGGTTTGAACCACCAACCTTGTAGTTAGCAGTCCAGTGCTTATCCTATAGTGCCACATCGTACATCATATAAGTAAGGATTTAAACTCAGGATAATTCCTTCAGATGTGTGTTGATCATATCAGATCATATCACGGGGAATTATTACATCATTGTAAATCTCATCATAGAGGTGATTATTAAATCTTAGTGATTAAACCACTGAGAATCCAGGTCCGAGAAGTTGACACAAATCTTAACTTTCATGTTGTTGTTGTGTTGTTAAAGTGTGGTGTCAGTTTCATCTCATAGAGACCCCATGTAGGGCCTCCAGGGAGTAACTGGTAGGTTTGAACTGTCATCCTTGTAGTTAGCAGTCCAGTGCTTATTCTATAGCACCACACAAGGACTCCATAGCTTCCCTTTAGGAGTTGTAAATAATTTGCAAACATGTGAATTAAGGATATTGTGTCTCTGTTGTGACGCTGTGGGTTAATGCGCTGGGCTGCAGTCGGTTTGAACTGGAAAGTTGGCAGTTCAGGATTACCAGCTGCTCCTTGGAAACCCTATACGGGGTCGCTGTGTGTCAGAACCAACTCGATAGCACTCAGTATCAATATTACTTTTGTTTTCCTTCATTTTAAATTCTAACTTTATTTCTATTCATGTAAAATATTTACTTAATATTTGTTATGTTCCCCCAAGTCATTTCTGACTCATAACAACCCTGTATAGCGTTTCCAAGGAGTGACTGGACTGTTAAGTTTGAACTGCCAACTTTGAGATTCAAACCAGCTTTGCAGTCCAGTGCTTATCCTGCAGTGCCACATCAGGACTCCTTTGCTTAATATGCTGTGTTTTAAATGTACAAGTATTTCCTGATCTAATGACAGGGTTTTGTCTTGACAACTCTTGTCAGTTCTGATGTAAATCGACTCTCTTTCTCTCTTTTTTTTCTTATTATTATTGTCATTTATTAGCAGTATCTTTATAAATAAGATCTTTGTCTTTGGAGTTTTAAAACATTAAATAAACATTACAGATATGTTTGAATACATACATACATACATAAAAAATACAAAAATCATAAAAACGTACAATGAAGAGTTAGGTGATATCGGCAGTTTGACAGTTGCAATAATAATTTCATTTGTGGAAGGTTCTGGATGATTTGGATTATCCCTGAGAATGGAGATGACATTTCTAATCAGATAATTAGTGACAACTACTCTATGATCCTTTTCTTTTTTGCTTCATATATTTTGTGGTGACATATACTGCATTCTGAATCTTACTCACCCTTTCACTTTTTGACAACTTCACTCTTTTCCCTTCCTCATTATTTCTTCTTCAGCAGTTCTTTCCTTTTCAAAATCTATTAAGTCCTGATCTACCCATTCCCCTTCTTCATGATCTATGAATTGTTTCACATTGGTGAATTGTTGTCAAGTGCTGTCAAGTTAAAATTCAGGGTTCTTGCCATATGAGAGATTTTTCCACTGATCTCTCCCATCAGATTATCCAGATCAAATGCTTGGAGTGTGTTCACACAACTCACCATTGTATTCCATTTTGTGCAGGAAGATGTACTAACAATAAGGTGTACCAAAAATTTTTAAATAAGTGGGATAATCATAAGTGAGGTTCAGCATAACTCGAATTGTTGTAAACCAAGATTACCTATAGTGAAACTTTTTCCCTTAAACTTTAAAATAGTCATTTAAATCATATAAGAGGTTAACAAAGTTCAGAAGTATGTCTTTTTTATACCTTTGAAAATGGATTTTCACACTTACAATGAAGACCAAATTTGTTATTCATACTCAACATATTTTTGAGTAATCTCTTAATTTTGATATATAATGTATTTATTGAACATTTGGGGTGTTTCCTCTATATACAGACATGGTTAGCCAACAATTTCCATTGCAGAAGTCTCAAATATTGTTATGTTACACATATTTTTCATGTGTCCACTCTCTTCCCTTTTGTACTTATAACTTTTTTTCTTTGTTTTAGAGAATGAAACTTGTTTGGGCATGGAACCAAGTGAAGAGAGCCAGTGTAAAGGCGAGACCCAGGATAGCAGCCCTGGCTTTAATCTGATAGGCAGGCAGGCAGAGTCCTCAGACTTTCCAGCAACTACAGGGAAGAACCACAAGGAGGAGCTGTGCGGCAGCACTGGAGCCCATCTGGAGCTCCACACCCAGTCCTCAGAGGCAGCTGGGAGCAGGTCCGGGCCAGACCTTTCTCAGAATCCTTATCAGGATGACTGCCATTTGCAGCTGACTGACAAAGAGGCCTGCAAAGATGTAGCCAGAATAGAGAGCATTTCTGAAGACCCTACGGTGTTATTTTCCAGTGAGTCAGTGATAGAGCCATTGGTTTCAGGAGGCTGTGACCATATACTTCCTGCATTGATTTCTGAAGATAAGTACTCGCAGACTGAAAGAAAGGAACTCCTATTGCCTCTTCAGGGTGCTTCTGAGGCGTTGCCCACAGACCAACTTGAGAATAATGAATTAAATGAGCTGCAGCAACCTGGCCTCACTGACAGTGATGGAAAATCACTACGTAGTCAGACTGACTCAGATGGCTCTGAGCATGAACTTTGTGAAAATAATAAAATATTTGACCTGAGTACAGTGCTTCCAGAGGTGTATATGGCCCCAGAGGAAAAGGGAGATAAGGACCATCAAGTGAGCAAAGAAACAGAAGATTATCTAAACAGCCTTTTAGAAGGATGCTTAAATGATACTGAAGATTCTCTTTTATATGAAGATAACCAAGAGGAAGACTCTGATCTCCTTCAAGACCTTTCTCCTGAAGAGGCATCCTATAATTTACAGGAGAGCCTACCTTCTGATGATAGCTGCCTTTCTCTTGATGATCTTGCCAGAAGGATAGAGATTACAGAGGTAAAGTCATGATTTCATCTCAGTAAAATGCCATTTAAGAAGCATTTGCATGCTAAACATTTCCCTTTTTGTAAGTTTTCTCTAGCTTCAGATACACAGGGAAATTTTGGTTAACGTGAACTTTAATCATTGCCAGTTGTACTTACTTATGCATGTTGAATAAGATGACTTTTGCCCATTGTTATGTTTATACTTTAAGAAGTCCTACTGCATGCTTCTGGGTGCAATAAGCATTATGAACACCATTTTTCACTTCACATTTTTATGGCAATTCCAGGAATCCTAATCAGGACAAGATTAGTCAAATTATTATAAGGAAATCTCATTTTTTTTTTTTCATACATCTGGAAGATAAAATGCAGTTTGTGCTCAGTAATAGTAAAATGTTTAAACTCTTTAAACAGTCTAATAGAGTAAAGGAAGCATTTTAAAATGCACTAAGACCTGGACAAACTGGATGAAGGTGTAAGCTATTAAGGTGCATGCTGTGAGTTTTCTCTTTCTTGCAGCATTAATTTTTAAGCTTCGGGCTTGAACAAACTTAAAATTTACTACTTGACTAAGTCATATTGTTGTATATAAATTAGTGTTAAATTTTCTCTAAAGACAGAAAAACTAACTGTAATGAAACTAATAAAAATAAATAAAATCAAGATGACCATTCTCTTGTGTTTGATAAGACAATAAAAAAATTCAGAAAAAGAAAAGATAGAACCCAAACTATTTCTTCCCCTTGGGAAAGTAGAGTAGATAGCCTTAGTTTAAATTCTGACTCCACCAGATCGCAGTCTCGTGGAGTTAACTTTTTAACCTAAGTCTAGTGTAGCATTTTAAAATGAGGATTAACTATTGAATTAAGTCTAGGACTAGCTTCATGTATTGCCATTTATAGTCAGTTCCCCATGAACTATGATTTTTCGTCTTAATTTTTTTTCTTAGTAAAAATAAATACAGCTTTAAAAAAAAATTAAATAGAGCTTATAGTAAAACAGGAGTCCTGGTGTGGTGTTGTGGGTTAATGCATTAGACTACAAAGTCATTTGATCCACAAGGTCAGGGGTTCAAGCTCACCAGCTGCTCCTTGGAAACAGTTGACCCTGTTGTACTCATTCTCATAATTTTAAAAAATACTTTATTTTTGTTATTGTTAAGACTATAACAGCAGATCATATACCATTTCAGCAGTGACATTGATTGCATTCTTTAGTTGCTCAACCATTTCTACCCTCTTTTTCAGAATGATTCCTCATCAGTAACATAAACTCACTCCCTGCCATCTGTTTCCTTTCTAATCTTCCAAGTTGCTGATGTCAATTTGGTCCTATATAGATAGATGTGTTTATTTTAACCAGATGTTTGGTACAGGGAGTTATCAAAACAGAGCTCACATCTGTAATCAGATCTATCTTCAACACCAACTAGATTACCTTTACATGACTGCTTCTCTCACATCAATCACCAAATGGACTGTATGGGTGTATGTGGTATAGTATTAACCTTTCTGGGTATCAATTGTGAAGAAGAATCAGAACTCCTCTTAGATCTTTCTGCCCTACAGAGCATTTTAAGGAAGGGATTAACTATTGGATTAATACTATTGTTGTATTATAACAAACTGGAATATCTTTTCTCAGACTCATTAATGCCAATTTCTCCTATCCAGATAACAGCTTGAGGTGGAAACTATGTGTATTTAAATTTTAAACTTGTTTTTACTATGAAGTTACGTTTTATACATGATGGGCCCCTCTGCTAAAATTCTACTGGTCTATTAAGTTGAGTCTGTTTAAGGATTCCAAAGCAATGCATGATTAACAAAAAGAACTTCCTTTGCTATGCTAACTCTTATGAGGTTGTTAAACATTTACTTTCTGGATACTTTTCCCTTTTTCATTCTGAGCAATATACTTTAATAAAGTCCAACTATTTCAGGAAGAGTTTTCAAAACTTCAGAACTAAAAGCTATAAATGCTTAGTATTTCCTAGATACATTTAAGAACAAGGTTTGGGACTAAGTAAAATTTCCAGGTAGTAGTGTTTACTTATAACTGTAACTTTTTTTTTTTTTTAAATCCAGACACTTACTCCTTTCAGTAAAACATTAAGGGCCTTTCACATACCAGGTGTTAAGGAAAAAACAGGAATCAAGTGAAACTCTTGGCCTTTTTGGGACTCTCTGCTGCTACTGTTGTCTGATATTAATCGACTTGTTTTTGAAATTTTCTTATGCTTCACCACTTTTGTGAAAGGGGATATACAGAACATGATTTCTTACTAACTAACTACTACTTGTGAAGCATATTATCTTGGGCTTGTAATATATTCACACCCTCAGGAATCACTACAGCACATGGAGTGCTGCCCTGGTTCGCTTTCTCAGTTCTCTCCCCAGTTGGTGACCCCTACCTCTTCCGGATTTCCTTACTACCCGTAACCCTTTCCCTCACTGAGACTATGTCTGCTACCCTTCTTTCTTTGTCACTTTTCCACCATTTCGTGTCTCTCTGCTCTTATCTTCTTGCCCTGTCATGTCAATGTTAATAACCATTGCCAGTCTAAGGACGCACTTAGCACTTGTTTTGTTGTTTAAACAATTGGGTACGTTACACAAAATGAAACTGACACAAAATCTCAGAACTAAAAATGTCTATACTGGTTTAATGCATTAATATAGATGAAAGGATAAATGAAGCATTTCTAAGTTTGGGAAGCCTTTTCACACACTGAATAATTTTGCTTACTACATGAGTCATTGCTGTTACCTATCATGTAAAAAAAGAAGGACATGTTATCATCAAAGTATAATCTCAGCTATTTTAAGGAGCTCTGGTAGTGTAGTGGTTACGAATCGGGCTGTGAACCGCAAAGTCAGCAGTTCGAAATTACCAGCTGTTCCGCGGGAGAAAGATGAGGCTTTCTGCTCCCATAAAAGTTTACAGCCTCGGAAACCCTGTACAGGGTTGCTATGAGTCAGAATCGACTCCACAGCACACAATGACAACAATTTTTAAAAAGTATCAATGTATTTCTGCTCATTATATAGATTTTTAGAGAAAAATGTGTATCGCTTGTTCAGTAATTCTAAATGCCTTCTGTGGGAGTGCCTTTGTACCACATGCAAGTGATTATAGTCACTGATAAGGACTCTGCATGCTTGACATCTGCATCTAGCAATTTTCTGACTCCACATGTGTGAATTTCAGTATCCCAAGTTTTTGCAAAAGATGAAATTTTATTGTGGTATCCCAGAAATACTGACATGATTACTTTAATATCAAAATCCCTAGTCCCCTTCACCCAGGATGCTGTGATGTAACTAAACCATCGACTTTATTTTGGAACCTGACAGGACAGCATTACCGTCCTCTCAACTCTTCAGCTGTTGAATCCCATATCCTAACACTCAGAGGGAATGTTAGCATCAAACATGAGAGAAAAAAGTGTGCTGCACAAATTTGACATAGCATGCTGCTAGTAAAAAAACCCACTTGGTTTATAGCAGATTGTTACATGTATAGAAATGAGGCAGTTGTTTTGCTTTCTGGAAAAGTAATACTCAGGTTGAATATTGGGTAAACTTTGCAAAAGTTAATGTTTAAAAATTATCATTTACCATTGAAACTAACTGTAATTTAGAAACTCCATATGTAAGCTGATTTTGTAACATGTAGATTATTCATTTTTCTTCTAGCAATTCGTTAACATATATGTGCATAATCTACTTGGAGAAATGTTTTAAAGCTACAATAACTTCATATTTAAGCAATTTTTGTTTTAAAACTAATTTTATAATGTAAAAGCTGAGAGAGAAGGTACTGTGCTACACTTGGGTCTTTTTTTTTTTTTTTTCTCTCTCTCATTTTGTTTCACTTAAAGATTCATATAAAATTTTTAACATAAAGAGGGTAAATTTACTTCTTGAAAGATAGACGGACAGGAAAACTACAAAACAATGTTGGCAGACTGACTGATTACTACAAGAACAACCAAGTTGCTCACCCAGGAGACATCAAGGCAAGTGGTCGGGTCCTCTCAGGGCAAACCCCTTTCCAAGACTAAGACTCAATGTAAATACACACTCTGATTGGTGATCACGTTCATCACCGATAAGGGGAAGTGAGGGAAAAACAGCAGTGAAGCTGCGAGCTAAGCCCTACAACATTCAATAGACTCTTGTGAACCTGGGTGGAGACCTGGGTACTCTTCGGCCCGGAGTCAGTGACATAGCCACAGAGGTCTAGAGTGGGGAGTGAAGCATCCAGAGGGTAAATTTGCACAAATGAATTTTTTTTTTAATGTTTTATTGTGAATTATGTGATTGTTTACATAGGAGAACATTAGCTTTACATTCATCCTATCATATATTGTTACATTGCCATTGTTACAATCCCCTCCATTCATCATCAACCCACCAAAGGGTATACGCTACAAATCTGCCCCTCCACCCCCCCACCCCCGGTCATCAGCACAAAGGCTCTCACTCACCCTCTCTGGGTCTAAAGTCCCCAGCCACTCTATCTTTCCACGTCATTGTCTCTGCCTCCATCTCTGGCGTCACTGCTTCTCTGGGTGGGTCCCGCTGTCCGCTCTTCTCCCTTGGTGGTCCCAGGGACCTCCGCTCCTAGACTGCAAAGTCAATCACACCCCTCCTTTTGCTACAGAACGTCTACCTTTAGATTTCCAACCCTCACAATCAGTCCTAATAACAGTTAATCACTATTGTATCACAAGAGAGCTATCTACATCTTTCATCAGCCCAGCTGAAAGATTGGCTACTACTCAGTGGAGATTCAATCTTACTCCACCCCCTCTGGATCTAGCCTCCCTCTTGAATGCTTGTAAGGCAGTCACTTCTTGCATTTGTAGCCCGACCTCCATTTTAGATAGCCAATGTCCAAGTTGCCCATTCCTGTCTACTCTGTATGGAAGGGGTGGGAATGATCCTAGCTGTAAAGATTTGTTCCCACTTTTGAGCTACTGCATCCATGGATGTAGGTCAA